AATAGTATAAACCTATGCGATCTGTTGCTTCATGCGCCTTTCATAGAAGAATCGATTAAACCGAATATTGATTATATAAATACAATGCTTCACATCACATTAATAAAATAAATTATTTCATCTTAGCAACAATTTCATTTTCATTTTTATCTCTATTTATTATAAGCATGTCTTGTAAAAAAGTATATGAGTAAGTATAAATATAATAAAAATAATTATTTATGAATATGTTTTTTTTGTTTTAAAGTAAATTATGGAATAAGTATATTTGTTTAAACTGAAAAAATGTAATTCAGTTTATTTCTATTAAAGTTATTTGGAAAAATATGGTGATTTTCGTGAACGTTTACAAATAATACAAAACGATCAGCAATGTATAACACAATTTCAATTACCACAATTAAAAAAACGATCTTTACCAGAAGTTAAAAAAAAGGATCGACTATTATTACCAGTAGAATATTATTGTAAAGATAAATTGGAAAAACTAATACAATCTGAAGTTAGAAAAATAAATCTATTGATTTTTAATATATAAAAATAGTTTTATATAGGATTTTCCAAATAATATTTTTTCAACCGATACAATATCTCGATCTTTAATTGAGCCAAACGAACATAATGAAGGATCTATCATGCATTCACTCGCAAATAAGATACACAAATCGGAGATTGACACAAGCTCCTCACATAATCCATATAGACAACTTCTCGAACGTCTTCGTAAAGCCGATAAAATGCAATCTGATAAATTCGATTCTAAAGTTACTAATATTCATATTCAAAATTTTCTCTCTTTCTTTCATTCACTTGATGACACTACATCTATAATCGATGAAAATTTATTAACATCTCTATTTTCTGTTAATAATCATTTATCATCATCTATATATATACCAACAAATATTCATCAACTCAATACTGTACCAAAAACTATACTTCATTCACTAAAAACTGCTCCACATAATAAACAAATACATAACAAAGTAGTATCAAATAAATTCAAAGATTCTACTGATCAAGATAACGAATTAGTATGAATGAAAATAAAATTTTCTATAAATAAAAAAAATGATTTTTTATATAAATAGAATTTAAAATTAATTAATACTTATACTATCAAAGCATTTAAAGAATATTTAATTCATCATGATAAATCCACACGATTACCTAAAGTATAGAAATAACTTTTTTTCCAATTAAAAATATTTATTTTATTTAAGTTATTTCATGATATTGATCGATTACATCAAAACTAAATATAATTTTATACATAGATCCTTTACAATTATACAACAACAAGTGGTACAGTTATAGTTGTTGGCGTATTTGATTTCAGTGAATGTTGCCATCGAGCATGACTATGTATTTGATTCGAAGTATGTAAATGAAGACGAAGATGACATTCAATATGATTTTCATTCTTGGAATAAACAGTTAAATTTAATTCTTGATTAATACGAGATGATGATAATGAAGAAATAATAAATGATGGGGTATTTGTCCAATGATATTTTTCACAAGAATTAGATGTTTGTCCACTAAAATGAGCTAGAAAAAAAAGATTGATTTACATTTTATTATGATGAATAAGTCGATTATTTTTCATACCTTTAAATGGAAGTTTTATGTTGATTTTATCAATATGTAAATTATTTATTTGTTGTATTCGTATTTGAAGTAGATTCTGATCTTTTAAATAATAATTCGTTAATATTAATTCTCCAACATGATCTGATCGAATTTGTAAATCTTGAGTAAAATATTCAGATAAAATATTTGTTGAAAATGTTTTATCATCTATATTTTCATCCAGAAATTTATCAAATTTAACAAATATATGTCCAAGAATATTACGAATACGAGTTATTGAATCAACTGTATATACAGTTAAACGTAATGTTCGTTTTAATAAATCATTTGGTTTTAACTAAAACGACAAAAAAACAACATTTCTATCTTAAAAAAACGAAATGTTGGTATATTTACTGAAAATTCAAAACATTCATTAAAAATACCATTTGTT